TCAAGGGTTGGTGAAACATCAAAAAGTAATATGATTTTCTTTTCGACGGTTTCCTTTAAGAACAGTATAAAACAGATCTATTTTTATTTCATACAGAGTGTCCCAGAATATGATGGCAATCTCTCAGATTTATACAGAAGATGTTAAAATAACATGACAAGTTCCTATAAAAATTTTTCCTTGAGGACCTCCCTATGGAGGTACAGGTCCCTAAAGGATACCCCTGGAAATAGATTTTTTGAAATAACTCTTAAAATACTTCGTGTAATTTAATTATTTTTTAATATGAAGAACAACAGATAAGGCTCCTTAAAAATTGACCCATGAAAACAATTTGGCTTATTTGGTTTGCCAGGGACGGACTAGCTGTAGTACAATAATGCCATTTTTTTACACCCTTTACGATTAAGTCACACAAATAATATGTTTAGATAGATCAACCTTAAACTAAAAAAATGTACTCTTGGTTGATATCGACAAAATGAACTGTTTTCGAGAAAAAATTATTTTTGTTTAATATGATTCTTATTACATAATTTTGTATGTCGATTAAACTTGAGCTCCTTCTAATGTTATGCATTCTCAAGGTCTACGAATTACAGATTTTATGGATTTTATGGATTGAAGTCTACAGGAAGAAGTGCATGGACTTTCTGTATGATATAGGAATGCAATTGCTGTTTAAGGATTTCAAGAAAAATTTTTATATTTACCGATTTTCTGATAATCCTGTACGTGCAAGATAAAAGTTCTCCATGCCAACCGCATTTTAAAGACAAGCAAAAATTTTAATGAAGAATGCCCTTTTTTGTAAAATGAAGAATAAAAATGATTAAGTATATACAATTTTATTTATAACTTCTGTAACACAAAATGTAGTAGCTAATTAGATAAATATAAGAACCCTCTATTCACATGCTGCTCATTTTTCTAACGCCTGTACAGGAATTCCAAACCCTATAAATATTTAAATTTTCCACAGAGAAGTGCGGGCCTTTAAAGAGAATTGATTAATTAGAAAACATAAAGAAAAACAATTTCTCCGGTTATATCCATAACTCAAACAGAACAGCATGAAAGTGTTGTTTGGCTCTTTCCTCGTTTATGCTTTTAATAAAGCGCTAAATTAGTCTATTAACCTGAAAGTATTTTTGGTTTCAGTGAAAATTCTGCTTTTGTTAAAGAATATTCTTCGGCGTATATTGAAGCTTGTGGCGCAGGTATATTAAATGTGTTTATTCCGGATTATTTATAGTTCACACGTTTTCCAAAAACTATTTATATTAATTATGTATATGAATACAGATGTAGAAGTTTAAAATGTTTACAAATATTTTGGAAAACTTTAGGGATTCAATATGAAACCCTGTCTTTTTCAACGTAAATTGTTTTTCAAACGCCTGGTTGTAGACAATGCGACTAATTTCAAATACACTTTTTTAGCTTACAGATTAACAATTGAAACAAATGGTACATTTCTTTGTAATGAGTTAGAGTATTTGGAAACTGATTATTTAATTGTTTGTTTATTTAAAATAAAGTTGGATGGATTGTATATTTGTAACCTTATAGTCTCGTATACCTAACATATGACTCGATATGGGAAACTTTATGGCGACCATCAAATAAATAGACAGTAGGTAATAATCTATATTATGCTAGTAAGAGGCAATACGTGTTGTAGTAGCAGAAATAGGCTAAGTCTATAGTCAAGCCATGTGCCGCTCAATGCTCACGATATACAATGACTGTCAAAAAAACAAGTGCCATACACTCGACTAAGTAAAGCATCAAACTCACTCACATACGCACAAACGACAATCATATGCACGGCCCTCAGTAAAAAACCTGGACATAGTAGGCATTAGGGTGCCGCTAGATACGTATCGAATAAATTGATCGATGCGAAGCTTTAGATCAGAGGCAGAAGTGCATGTTATTGTGCAATGACGCGGATACTGGGATTACTAAAATGTGAAGTATCATTAGCAAAAATAGCGTCTATTAAAAACTTCGACTATTTTAGATATACGCCTGTGCCTCGGTAAATGTTGAACAGTAATTTTCTTTTTTGAAATGAATATATACCGATCGCCGAAGACGATTAACCGCGGAACACTTTGGACAACTGTTTATTATTTTCCACATTCGCTTCCTCTTGTGTGGGAAATTATTATTTTGTTAACTTTTGCTAGTACGTACTTATTATTACGTACTATACCTACATATTTTATGGTCAGTTCCATGTGAAGCTTTTAGTGTAGAAAAATAAATACTGGCCCTTTTCATTACATACTATGCATGCAAATACTAACATATATATTTTTATAATATAAGAAAGCAACGGTTGTGTCACTTTTTGTTTGAGTAAAATTGCATAAAAGAGAACCCGGCGTATAACCAATCCTGAACCACATTGCAGTTTCCTTAATATTTCTGATCTCTACATATATACACATACTTACAAAAGATTAATTAAAAAAAACATATTATAACGAAAACCAACAAATTATCTACAAAATTACAATACACTGGTTAAAACAAGTAGCCGAAAAAATAAACATGAATAAAACAATTTCTCTTATATTATTAACTGAACACGATAACATGTCAAAGCTATAAAATACTTCTTGCGGTCGATAAACATTATCCAGAATAGATACTGATGATTTTAAAAATCTACTTTCGGCTCTCTCAGTTGAAGTAACATGTGCGGAATAAATTGGTCTTCACACCACACACTCATATTCAGCCTTTGATCTTACAAACGTAAATAGTAATTTAAACATTTGCAGTTATTTAAAACACAAGCCATTACGATTTAGAAAACCAATAATCCATTTTATTTTTTAACATACTGTTTGGGACAAATAATTTCTCTAGGTTAATGTTTGTTAGTTATTACTTTCTTGGGAACAATATCAACAAAAACAGAGAGTAATGTGTCATATACGATCAGGATCATTTATTGACAAACTATTACAGTCGAATTAGAGTTTGAACGTGAAAAAATTGTTAGTAGACATTTTATTGCACTTTATGGGGGGGGGGAAGGGTATGAGAATGATAATATCAAAAAATTAACTAGAAAGAAGTGACGTTAAGTTGGCAAATTGCAAATAAGAGGCAAATTTACGTGTTTCTTCACTTTATTTCGCCGTTTTTTGTTGTCTATTTTTAAGTTTTCGGGGCTTAACCAATTAATAGATTTAAAATTAAAACCACAGCTAGTTTCTTTGTTGTAAGATACCGCTAGATACTACTCACCAAAATCATTTCAAGAACCAAAGTTTGATAATTTTTGCGTTCAGGGAGGTGAAATCGGGTACGGGTACATCTAAAGTATAACGAGAGTTTCTGTATATTCGCTAGTGACTAAAGTAGTAAGCCTTTAGATTTGTCAACGTTACACTTGGCTGGCTTGCCCGCCTCGGCGTTCGCTCGCTCGCGTTCGATCATTCTGTGTGCTTGCACACCTGCGAATTTCAAATAATACGCTACGTTGAGACCGCGGCGTTGCCGCTGTCACGCATATGGAGGATAAGTTAGTCAACGACAGCAGTTTGAAGGAGAATTATTATAAATTATGTATCTTACAAGTACCTAATCGATTTCTACGAGCGGTCATACGGTTCCTTAGATATCGGTTTCTGGAAAAAATGTCAATTGCTGCGCATTCTAAGTGGAAAGACCAACAAAATTAATCATAAGACTCTGTACTAAATCGTGAAAAATTATTTTATTAATATCTCGTCTCTTAGGTATCCAAACTAGTCATAATTTTGTTTGAGGATTTTCTTCATATTAATAAGCTTATATTAATTTTTTTTATGAATATTTGTTTGTCAATTCCAATTCAGATAAACCTCCTTAAAAAACATTGCAATACACAACATGGCGATTTAGAATTTATTATACTGCGTATAATTGAAATAGCTATATTTCGAGTAAATTAATATTAGTTTTAACAAAGATACAGTATTAGTATATCATTAAGCTACGTTTCGGAAAATGCTACAATATCAAATTGAGATGTTACTGAATTGATGAACAAATAGCAAGAACTCAGAGTTTTTTCAGAGTCACAAACTTACGTTATCGGTTGTTATTGGAATATATCATTTTTGTACATTTAAGTTATAAACAAATTAACTTCTATACCAAACACCATGCCTGACTTGACAAGAGTTAGCTTATTATAATTGAGGGAATTGATGCATCTATTTTTGTACAATCTTCCACTTCGTGATTTTGAGCAAATAAGAAAGATCTATATGACTTTATCGTACATTACGACAATACGATGGCACATAATAAATATTGCAATAATTACATTAATCATATCTTACAAAAAGTATACCATAATCCATAACTTTATCACAATAATGCACAAGATATGAGACCCAGGAAAATATTTGTACGTATATTTAGCTAACATTTGGCATCCTCATGGAGAGTGATTTCTGTGTTAACACCCTAGAAGATATGGTTTTAAGTCGCTAAAGGTTTTTACTGCGACACATAGACACAGCTTATTGGGATTAATAAAATGTCAAGAATGTCTGTGCTATTACTTGCACCTGGATTTACCAGATGCTGGCTTATGTACCGGACATAGTATGCGACTAGATTACTGGACAGTACAGATAGCAATTTCACTACCATCAAATGTCAAGAAAGTTGTCCACCGTGGTAGAAGGGTGCATAAGTTATACGTTACGTCCAGCTGTGTCTGAAGTTAATCTTCCCATATTGTGAGAACCAAATAAGTACAAAAAAAATTGCTTCTGTTAATTTTAGTTGGAACTTATGACTTCTAATGACATATTTCTTGTATTATGAATGTATGCAGTATAAAATTATAACGTTATACGTCGATTTCGGATAAAATATTTAAAGCCCCCATCATCAGATTGGCTTATAGGGCAGAAGATGCATTGAGCTCTTGAGCGACGTCTAGTGGCAGTAATTTTATTATTAATGGTCCTTAATTTTTTCAGGTCACGGGCATCTGACTATCGATCCAGGAGTATCATCAATCCTTATTTTACTAGTGAATTTGATCCTTGAATAAGGAGGGTACGTCCACACTGTCTGTGGTTCCGCATGCTCAGGTGAGTCAAATTTACATAAATCTTTGTACTGTTGGTTAAAAATATAATTTCCTGTAATTTTCAAAAGGAGGACAAAATAAACATCAGACGATATCTTATTATTAAACATGCGAATTCTTTATGCATGATTTAGTAGTCAGCTTTGAAAAGCATTGTTTTCGTGTGTATCCTATTGAACTACATTTGAAGTATGTAATAAAAACATTTGTATTACTACATTTTGTATCCTTTTATATTTTTCAATGAACATTTGATGAGAAGATAAACTTTATGCCCTCTGAAAACATTCCTGAAACGTTCACATATATTTTTAAGGTGTTCACTTTGTATCAAATGTATCTATTTCCTACACGTCGCTTGATTTCGAGGTAATGTAACATTCTAAGGAGTTTATGACTTCATACTAGCTATCATCGGCCATAAAACATATCAGGGGTGTTTTATTTATGAAATCGACAGGCATAAATGCTAACACGTTTGCCTTGCTGCTATGACGGAAAAGAAATGAAGCAGACAAAATTCTGATTTAAGAGTGTTAATGAAATGCCCTGTATATGATTAATTGCGACATTTCAATGGCCATTTAACCCTCACTCAGGTATTTCTAAGATTCAGCAAAAAGAACTTTTTCGCTTATCAGACGTCATAATTCTTCGATTTCAGAGTTTCGGTGGACTATCTGAAAAGGTTTATGTCTGTCCATTACATAAAGAAAGATAACGAGATTTAAAGCGCCTAACTGATATATCGCCTAACTTTATTACCATATAAAAAGTTAGGAAAAATTTGCGATAGCCTTCGGTTATAGTCTGTTTAGAAATGAAAGAGAGTAATATAAGCTTATTATGTATGAAAATCGTAAATAAATGTAGTACTGGTGCTTATATTAAATATTTTTATATTATGTACTATAAAAAACTTTGTGTGACCGACTTCTACTAAATTGTAGCAGGTAGCTAAAATTTAATCCCCGACAATCCGTCTTTGTCTATGCCGCTTCAATTTCTCGGTCCATTTCTCTTATAAGTAAACAATATAAAAACAGCATTTCAAAACATGAGGCTACTTTAAGCATCATAACCGGGTTAAGAGGGTTTTTAGTAATTCAAATAAAATTATTCAATATTATTATCAAAATATTTATTTAAATTTAATGAATAGACTTTTATTCCACACAAAAATATATGTATTTTGAAAATTCAAATTATGGTGAGTAAATGTAGTGTTGTATAAATGTACAATAAAGAAAATAAAAAAGTAGGTATATTAAAATTCATCCTCTGAATATTCTGATGAATTATCTTCGTCTCCTAGATTGATAACGATAGGTTCCACAGTAACGTCAATTAAATTATCGAGTTCCCACATTTTCTCCTCTTCTTTTTGTACATGATGTATACATCTTTGCCAGTTATCTGCAGTTACTCGTTCCAAGGAATTTTTTAACAAAATTTTCACGTCACTTAATTTAAACGTCGTATTATTTCGCGCTACATCTCCTTTTACCTGCGCCCAGACTAATTCGATTGGGTTAAGTTCACAGTGATAAGGTGGTAACCGTAGTACCGTTATTTGGCGATTTGTTGCCATTTCATCGATAACATATTTTTTCTGATCTTTATTAAGATTGACAAGTGTCAAAAGTTCCTTTTTCACCATATTTGTTTCAAAAGAAATGTTTTTTCCGGATAACCATTGAATTATATCGGCTTTCCTCCAAGCAGTCGTAGGCGTCCGCTCGGTCTGCCGTGAATGGTAACTGGCATTATCCATGACAATTACAGACCCCGGAGGAATAAGATCCAACATCTGTGTAAAATACTCTTCGAAAACATCTGCGTTCATGTCTTCGTGATAGTCACCTGTATTTTTAGATTCAAATAAAAGTAAACCGCCATCTACAAAACCACTGGCACTACCTATATGTGTCACTATTAATCTTCGCCCTTTACCTGAAGGTGCCTTGAACCCTGTTGAAAGTCCATCCAAAAATGCTTGTCGAAAACTTTTTACATTTTTATCTTGCCATACTTTTGTTACAGTATATCCCTCGTTGACCCAAGTTTCGTCTAGATAATAAATATTCCTCCCTTCGTCACGGAATTTTCTAATTGATCTTAAGTAGGATCTTCGCCAACAAATAATTTCATCTTTATCGATAAGAACTGACTTCCTGTTCTGCTTTTCCCAGCAAAAATTCAACTCTCGTAAGACGGCCCATAATTTGCTTCTACTGATTTTTGGCAAATCGTTGTCCTCTGAAAGTTCACTTAAAATTTTGTTTAGCGTTGGTATTTCTTTTTTAAAATAAAATGAGTGTACTTTTCTGCGAATGACATTTTTGAAGAAATCATCTATAACGACTTTTGACCTCCCTGTAGATGATTTTGGGGGATTTACAGTATCTTGTTCATTTTTTGTTTCCTTTAAAAGTCTGTAGATAGTCGATTTTCCAATCCCTGTCATTTTGGAACACTTTTCCACGATGTCGTCAACACTGTTGGTAGGATTTTGGTGTTTCAATGCATTAAATACATTTAATATAATAATCTTCTCATTCTGAGACAGCGCACATCTTTTCACGCGTTTAGCAGGTACGTAATCTGATAAGCTCGACATTTTACCCAAACAATATTATATCCACTGGCACAATAGTCACTAAACACAAGTCGAATTTTACTCTACTGCACTAGCACGTCTTCGTATATTCAGCTCTAAGACTGGATTGATCTGTCACAATACACTGGCTCCTGCCCTATGATGTATCCAGTAAAATATACTAATGTACACCCATTACCTGTTAGCATTAGTGTTACCCGATAATTACCTGAAACGAAATATTACCACGCCCATGGCCGGTTCTTATCTCGGGGTTTTATTACTCTCTTTCATTTCCAAACAAACTATAGCCGGGACGTTGACATAGTCGAAAGAGTTATCTTAAATTATTGTATTAGATACGTGCTGTTTCTACAATAAAAAGTCCATAATGATTTTATCAACATTTCAAAAGCAGTGTTTCGATGTTCCTGCATCTCGTCAGTTCACACTTTTACAACACCGCACATAGGAAATTACTTTAATGGTGCTTCACTAGGCACATTGTCACTCTGTCATGCGTACTGATTAATGTATTGTTCTTGCCAAGTGTCTCAACCTATTCGATAATTCAGTTGTCGGCTGGAATTAAATTGCAATTAATTTTCAAGGTATCCGTATCGAATACCGTGCCCCTGTGACTGTCTCCAGGAATCTCATTACTACCTATAATTGGGTGGAGATAATAAACTTGGCCTGTCGGCTTTGACGATGATAGCTCATAAAATTACATCAAAGGTGCCTGGAAAATATTTATTAGGAATACTAATTATAAAAATAATTAATTAAATAATTGGGAAGGTATTAATATATTTGAAACAAATTTTGAAAAGTCTTATTGGACTAAATTAGACAAAACTCTCAAACCTAGTAAACAGCTAGTATTGAAAATGTTAAATAATGCAATATCAAAGAAACATTTTGTGTTCTTGCTGTCCTATTATCACTTTTGACAAAGACTAATCATGTATAAAATAGCTGCTACAAAGAGACCTTATGTTTCCACATTTTAATTAACAGGAAAAAATATACAGGGTGTAATAAGTTTGACAGCTATTACTTCAGCATGAGATAGAGTAATCATAAATGAACAAAAAAGTTGTATATTACCGGGGCGTAAGATTAACTGTTTTCAAAATACTGCGAGTATTAATATTGGGGAATTTCATTACAACGTGACAACAGCGCTTAACCTGCTGATGCACACCACGCGTACATGCGGTTGACTGGTCCTACGGAAAAAATGTAAATAGCTATTATTGTGAAACATTTAGTAAATTTCAAGACAATTGTTTTCCAGTTTTTAAATAAATAAAATAAAATGTATCGATTTTGTAGTACGAAGGTAGTGTTGTGCTTAAATTTTAGCTCAAATGTTAGTAATTATGAATTTCTTAAAACAGGAACTTAACTTTTAATCAAATTACGTACTTGAAAAATATGTAATTAAAGTACCCAAAGATTATCATACGTATTAAAAATAATTTAGGTACTTACTTAAGCAAAATTTAATAATTTTTATACGCACAAGTATAAAACAAACTACAACATATGCTCAAAATGTCCACCACTATTTTCAATGCATGCACGACACCTTCGAATCCAATTTTCGCATACTCGCTGGAAAACACCTCAAGAAAAGGAAATAGCGGTATGCAAAAAACACTCCGACATGGGCGAATCCAGATACCAACTGAATTGCGTATTGGTGGTTGCTGGACACCTTAATATCTCGTGTTAATAAACCGCCGCGCCGTTGTCACATTACTCAATATGGATTTTATCGAATTTTAAATGTATTACAACGGTAATTATTTTTTAGATTAATTAATTAATTAATTAAGCATAAAGAAGTTGAAAAAGGTGGTAAACATTGTATTTTATGGTATTCTACGCACAAAGTTATGTTATGTTATAGTTATGTTATAATATTCCTTAATTAATCAAACTTTCGTACATGAAGTTGGAGATTTTAATAATTTTTTTTCTCGGAAATGGTTGAGTTTAGGACCCATGGCATATAAGTTTTTTTTTTATTTTAATGTATTATATCATCTGTTACAATTAAGGCAGTCAAACTTCTAAGACCCTGTATTAAATTAAAATTTAAAAAATTATTTTGCGTTATTTTTCTCGTTCAATAATCATAATCATAATAATAATGATCATAATCATCAAATATAGAAAAAAAATAAATTAAAATTTTGAAATAAGCCAAATTTTTCAAAATTTTTTTCCCGTTATTTATTTCACAATTTCACATTGAATACTTAACAAATGTAAAAAAAACAGTTAATAAAACTTAAGATTATTATCTATTTTTTAATGAAAAAAAAATTGCGAGAAAATTTACTTAGGGGTATCAACTTAAATTAATGCAATTAATTTTAACTCGATGAAAT